ATACTCATGACCCGAAAATACGAGTACCTGCCTCTTACTGGTTAAGTCATAGGCCGAATTTTTGTGACCCGAAAATCCCAGATACCCGACACTCCAGGTACACGAAAATGCGAGTACTCGGATTTGAACACCTCTACTTGGTACAACCATTATAAGTCTTGTAATTTAATATTATTATTTCGTTTCATTTGAATTAAAAGCAATAAAGTGGGAGATGAAATATAGAAGTTGTGCATAGTAGAGGAACTAATGAGAATTTAACCATATAGATCTCTCACATAAACTTCTAAGCGTTCAAATTTTCTATATTTAATGTCTAAAAGCGGACGGCCGGAAGAGATGCTGCTGCTTACAAAACATTTAAGGGAAAACTACATATTTAGTCACCCAGGTATGATTTAAAAAAAAACAAAATTAAAATTGAACTAAAGTGATAATTAAATGACTAACTATTGGAGCAGGCAGCTGATTCTGCCAAAAGGGGTTATCAGGGATGTTGAGAAATTATGTATGAGGTTTTTCTGGAAAGGGTGTGACTCCCCAGCTAGAGGAGCTAGGGTAAGTTGGAGCTAGATCTGTTCCCTGAAATCTGAGGGAGGGTTAGGGTTGAGGAGTTTGACTGATTGGAGTAAGGCTTGCTGCTTATTGCTAATCAAGAAAATCCTGGCAGGAGAGGGCTCTCTCTGGATTGCTTGGGTGAATTCTTACTGCCTTAGATTAGTAGGTTTTTGGAATGTTGAATATAAGGCTCATTTCAGTTGGATCCTAGCAAAATTGTTCAAAATGAGGAGTGAAGCTAGGAGGGTTTTTGGCTCCAGTAGTAGCTGGGACCAAATCAATGCCAGATGGATATGAGATAACATTCGGAATAGGTGTGAGAAAGTACGTTGGCATCGCCTAGTGTGGTTTCCTGGCCATATTCCAAAGTTCTCTCTGATATCTTGGATGGCAATCTTGAACAGATTGCCCATAAAGGACAGGCTCTCTAGATTTGGTATAGTAATAGATGGAGGTTGTGGTCTGTGCAGCTCTGGTCTTGAATCTCAGGACCACATTTTTCTGACTGTGCATATACAAAGGAAATCTGGACTGCTATTCTTCTTTCTTGTGGTCTTTCTCAGGCCCCTCCCGACTGGAATGGTTCTCAAGTTGGCTTGGACTGGATTCATCTACTTCATTTGGGAGGAACGAAATCGCAGATATTTTGGAGGAACTCATCGTTTGGTTGGAGTTGTTGTTAGTTGTATTAAAGAATCTGTTAGAATCAAATTGCATAGAACTCATATAAATAGAATTGATGTTGTAAATAGGGAACTGTGTATAGATTGGGGATTGGTGTAATGTCTTTGAGTTTCTGTTTTGTAGCAGCATTGCTGCCTTCCTTTTTGGATGAATGAAATTTTACTTATCCAAAAAAAATGACTAACTATGTAATTTACCCAATTTTAAAAAACTACAAATTCCATTGCCAAGAATTGAACCCGGATCTTCTAGATGAAAGCCAGATATCCTAACCACCGGACGACAATAGAAACTTGCTTTGCTATTCCTTTTTTCCTCTATTTATCATCTGCAAACTTGAATTTCTCGAAAAATGTTTTAAAAGAATGATAGTTTTTTATTGATGTATTTATTATAATATAAACTCAAAAACATACTTCATTTTTATATTAATTTTAGATAAAAAAAATTACTCCTTCCGTCCCATAATTTGTGTCTCATATTGATTATGCACATAGTTTTAGGAAGTATATTTGATTAAGAGAAATAATAAAATTATCCCTAAAAGGTGATTGATAGATTTAACTGATTTATTTTGATAGATATAAAAAAGTAAGACATATAAGAATAAAAAATGAACTATAAGTATTGTTGTTCTTTGACTTTTTTTAATAGAACATTTTAAATGAGATAATTTTAAAAACGCAGGAAATATAAAATAACAAAAATAGATAACTTAATCAACCGATAAATAAATAATAAATAAATACTCTAAATTACTAAATTATTAAGATTCAACGTCTAAATAAATTATTGATAAAGTAGATTTGATAAATAAAAAGATTATTAAAATAAATTTTGAAATAAAATAAATGATAAATGTTATCTTTTTTTTATATTAATCTATGGTGTTTACAAATGATTATATTTATTCTAAAAATTCTCAACTATTTGACGCTCAAATATTTTATAGGCTCTGATGCTTGAACCCGAAACCTCTAATAACGCGGGAGAGATTTTTTTCTCCTTTATAAAGAAGGGAAACTAAAAAACAAGATGAATATATATAATCTTAAAATACATATAACAGGAGTCCTATGTTGAGTTGAGCTATAAATAATTAAAATTTTATAATTTTATAATTATTCAAAATATCTTAACATGTTGATTTAACTTTAGATTGAAATATTTTAAGATATTTTAAAAAATTATCACCAACTAGTTGATCTGTTAGGATGAAATATTAGATTTTTTAAGTAAGATCGATGATTCAAACCCTGACATGAATTAGTCGATTATGAACATTTACAAAACACGATATGAATTAGTCGATTATGATTAATTAAAAAATACTTTAAAAAATTAACTGACATATAATTTATCCATAAAAAGACACATGAATATAAAAAAGTTTAAGTTATTAGTTCTTTTTTATCTTTACTAATAGGCAACGACACCAATTTTAATGTTAGTTACTGATTATATGTATTTTTTATTGTTTTTCTATATCGTACTTTTATTTTTCTATTGTTTTTAATTTTCAATAAGTTTACCTTTAAGGCACGTTTTCATATGCCTTTATGACAAATTTTTTCTGTCTTTTGGCACATTTTTGATCGTTTTACCATTGTTTTTCATATATTTTTTTTAATGGTTGATTCAACATGCCACGACTGATCAATATGATATTTATTTGTTATCATGTTGATCTACCCTACTTTGGACCCTTGTATTGTATTTGAATATTTGCTTTACGTTCGTAGATAGTTTTTCTTGTAGCTCGAATTTAATTTACGATTTTGTCGGTATTTTTCAATAGCTTAATATCCTTTTGTAGTTTGTTTGTCAATACGATCATATATGTTTGTATCTATCATTGTTGGAATTTTGTTAAGTTTTTTTAATCTTTCCTTGATCCTTATGTGATCTTAAGATGCTAATTTTGTATCAATAATTTTTAAAAAATCTCCCAATTATATACTTAATTTACGATTATTATCACAAATCGTCACTATAATTCGAAATATCTAGAAACACAAGTCATCCAATATTTTAGTTTTACAGATCCAAAGTAATTTTCTCCTTTAAATATATCACTAAGAATGAAATAAAAGATAAGGAATATTATAATATTAATTAATGTTAAATTCTGAATTAAATTTTAGGGTTACACATTTAATACATAAACTATCAATTTTAATCAGTTTAGTATCTAAACTTTAAATTTTTTGAAAACAATACATAAAATTTAGTTTTTGTTTTATTTTAATACCCATGTTCAAAATTTAACGTTAAATTTTGAAAAAAAAAATAAAATTTTAGGTAATAAATGAACCAAATTGATAGTTTGGGTACTAAAAGTTTTCTAACGGTGGATGACTAAAATAAAATAAAAATAAAACATGAGGTATGATTTTGAAAAATTAAAATTTTAAGTGTTAAAATAGACTATAATAAATTTAGATACTAAATTCATAATTTATCCTAATTTCTAAACCATTTTTTATATATAAAGATAAATAATTGAGGACAAACGTCATTTAATGGCATTGATGGTTTAAGTATTGACAGAGATTTTTATACAGAGATTTATTTGTAGAGATTATTTAATATTTTAGACGTATATATGTAGACTGTATATGAAGACTGTTCAACTATTTATTTATTTATACATGCATGATATTTTTATCTTTACTTTTATTTTTTTAACTGTCGGAGGTCTTCCACGAAAATTACTCTCAATCTGATATTAGAAGTAGTCTACTACCGTACCTTTCTCTTATCCCATTGCATATGTGAATATAATTTTGTTGTTGTTATTGTTGTTGAGATGGTTTAAGCATTGAGTATTTTCCCAAGTTTTAATTGTCCATTTGCTTTAATAGTCCGTTTACCCAACATTGAAATGTGTACCCTACATCCTACGATCATGAGCCTCCTCCTCAGTAGGGTGGATTCCTCTATCCTATTAATTCAATTTTATACAAATTAAAATTTAAATATACAGTTTTAATTTAGTTTTAAATTTAATTATTAAATATTTAAATATTAATTGAAGGTTACATTATAAATATATATATATTAGTTTTATGTTTTATTTCAAAAAACATATATTAGTTTTATTTTAAACCTGTAAGTATATCTTTTAATTATATTAATTATAGATTTTATAAAGATATAAAAATCAAAAGATTATGATAGTAATATTAATTATTATTTCAAATTTTAATATTTTTACAATTGTATAAAATATATTTTCATGATAATATTAATTATTGTTTAAAATTTAAAATACTTTTTTAAATATATACAATTTTTCTCACGATAATATTATTTTTTTAGTTACAATTTTAAAATATTTTTTCATTAGATTAATATCTAATTATGGTATGGTAAAATCGAATTATTAAATAAATATTTTAAAATATTTTACTGAATTAATATTTACTACATTAATTAAATTCGATCAGAAATTTATAATAAAAAAATAAAAATATACTCCATAATTTTGTCGTGATTAATATTAACTATCGAGAGGCGTGCTTTATATTGATTTTAGCAGAACATATAAACCAAAAAATCACATGGTATAATGGCATTATCGTAATTTAAACATAAACCCAATGGCAAATACAAACTATAGTCCACAGTCCACACTGCCTCGTACTCATCGACAAATAAAATAAATAAAATAATAAATAAAATACCCAAAAGGAAAGAAAAGTCAGAAAATAATTTTTTTAAAAAGTACTGAAAAAAAAAGCTAAGCTTCTCTCAGAAGAGAGAGAGAGAGAGAGAGAGAGAGAGATGCTGAAGCTTTGCTCTTGTAATGTGACGGACCAAATTCAGGCGTCGGTTCAATGCCGATTCCCAGGTTCATCCGGTCCATTTGCATTTCGCCTGCGGAGTCCTGTCTCTGTCTCTTGTTCTCCTCCGAGTAGACTCAAGTTGATGCCGGTTCGAGCGGTTCTGTCGAGCCAGAGAACCGAAGTGGCCGAGGTCGTTAAATCCGGGCCGGGGAGCTTGGGTGAACGGCTCCGATTGGGAAGCTTGGCTGAAGACGGGTTGTCTTTTAAGGAAAAGTATATAATAAGGTGTTATGAAGTTGGAATCAACAAAACCGCCACTATTGAAACCCTTGCTAATCTCTTGCAGGTATTTTTCAAATTTTCTCCTCTCTTTTCGAAATTTAGGTTTCGATTGCTACGGATTACGGATTGTTTTTCAAAGTTGAATCTTGAATGTTAAGAGAGAAATGGGATCTGGAGTCCATCTTTTATCTTTATTTGTTTACACCTGTTGATTGGAAATTGTTTAGGAGCTTCAAGCTTTTTCTGTTTTTTTTTATAAATATTTTTTACTATTGTTGGATTTTGGATGCATTGAAGCTTTCTCAGTGTACTATGGAAGTACGATCAGTCTTTTTTAAGAATTACTGTATTTTTCGTTTAGAAATTGATTAAATTAAAACTGATTTTTTTCTTTGATAAATCTAGGTGAATACAAAGTATTTTCTTTTAAAAAAACTCAATTATTTGACAATTAATGCTCATTCCCTACATACTGGATGAACCCGGGACCTCAAGGTAAATTAATTAATCTCTCTGACTGTATCAATGATAAAAAAAAAAACAAAAAAAGCAACTGACGACTTGTAGTCTTCAGATCAAAGATTTTACATGTAAAAGTTAAAACATTTAAAATTACTCCAATCTTTACTGTATATAAGTTTTTTGATTGAGTTGATGTGATAAGTGAGTGTATCATATTATAGTTTTTATACAAAACTGACCGATTTAACTTTGATTTTAATTGATACTTGTGTTTTTAAGATTTTCGGGGACTTTGTTCTGGAAACTCTCATAGTTTTTGCTCATTCCCTTTGTTTTGGTCAATTTGTTTGTTTAATTTGATCATGTACCAAGTTTTAGCAACTTTGGATGAAATCATGAAATGAAATGTTCATTCTCGACTTTTTGTTTGTTTATTCTTTTGGAATTTATGCAATGCAGGAGGTTGGATCTAACCATGCTCAGAGTGTTGGATTTTCGACAGATGGGTTTGCTACGACCCCTGCCATGAGAAAATTGCATCTTATATGGGTGACCGCACGAATGCACATAGAAATATACAAATACCCAGCTTGGTGGGTCATTTTCTCCTTCATCTAATGATCATCATTTCTGGCTTCCATTTGTAACATATGTTACAAAAGTTTGGTATTTGATTTGGTGGCTTAGGAGTGACGTGGTTGAAATCGAGACATGGTGCCAAAGTGAGGGAAGCATTAGAACCAGAAGGGACTGGATCCTAAAGGATGCCGCAACTGGTGAACTTATTGGAAGAGCTACAGGGTGTGTTCGAGCTTTTATCCTCCCTTCTCTTTGCATGTTATAAGATCCATAACATGAGATGACCCTAGGGCACTAATAATTCTCACACGCACTAGTTGACGTTGAAATTACATCAAAATTAGAAATTATTTACTGGCTTAAATTCTGTCCTGTGAACAATCATTTTGCTAGCTGCTGCCTTTCCTGACATATTTCCATCTCGATGTAATGTTTCTTTATGAATGCCCTTAAATTTCTTCATTTCTGCCGTACTGTTTCTAGATTAACTGCAATGGTTTGTATTAATGCGTGCTTGTATATTTATTAAGATTAGCTTTATTCCAAAAGTTAATTGCGCCTGGCTTGATTGCAGCAAGTGGGTGATGATGAACCATGACACAAGGCGGTTGCAGAAAGTTAGTGATGAGGTCCGGGAAGAGCTTATGGTCCACTTCCCACAAGAGCCTAGGTAGGAGCTTTTCCTCACCTGAGATGTAAATATTGACTCATTTTATATCTTTAATTACACTACTTAACGGGATGCTAAATAAATATGACGTGATTGTACTCCATAACGACCTTCTTAGCATTATTTTGTCCAATTTTCGAATTACTAATGCTCACTGCTTTGTTCAAGTTGAGACCGAAGTTGGATGCCTAATAGCATATTCATAAATGCTTAATGTCAACCAACTCCTAAAAGTTTTGCAACTGTGCCATTGGGATTTCAGAGCTTGAAAATGTTTGTGGTCTTGCGTATATTTGCAGACGTAAAGGTTTGAAAAGGGTTGAGAGACCAATTTAAATTTTTTAATTAGTGCCTCTTTTTATACATATACAAAAATAAGTGCAATTGAAGTTTCTTCAAAAGGCTACAGTTCTAAATTATTTGTTGAGGTGTGGTGTTTCATAGTCTATGGATATGGTTGGACTGGGAACATTTTTGTAAACATTTAGAAGCTCTGTTTTAAGTGCATATTAGAACTTGTAATTTATTTGCTTTGAACGCACATTTCTTAATCGAAGTTGTCTGAAGCTGGATACTGGATAGGGTAAATAATATATATGCCTCATGACGACCAAATCATCAGAATTTGAAACTAGTCCTTTTTTATGGTGGACTAAATGCAGTATATTGTGAATTTTAGAAATCTTGATATTTTGTTGCGAGAAATGTTGTGAAAATGTTGTAGAAAGTAGATGCTCGAACTTGCAGGATAAATTTCACCACTTAGGGAAAGACCCTTTGGGTTTAAAGCATGCATCAACTTCTTAAGTTCAAAAAAGAAATTCAGTATTCGTATTTATGGAATTTACTTTATGCAAGGCATTGTTTCTCGTTTGATTGGTCCTCTTGTGGCTTTTACAGATTAGCATTTCCAGAAAAGGACAACAGAAGTTTGAAGAAAATTCTCAAATTAGAAGATCCTGCTCAGCATTCCCGGCTTGCGCTTACGGTAAGATTGTTTGTTTATCTAAGCACTGTAAAAAATGGAATGGAGGTTGAATTAGTGAGGCCGGTTTAATTAAAAAGAATTTAAATATTAAAATTCTAATTTTAACATCAAAAGAGTATAATGGAATGGACTACGCATCGGTATCTGGTTCGACCAACCAGTCAGTTCCGGTTTTCTTTTCAACAGTGTATCCAAGTTGTTTGTATACTCGTTAAAACCGTTGATGTGCTTTAAAATTTGCAGCCCAGACGAGCTGATCTGGACATGAACCATCATGTCAATTACGTCACTTACATCGGATGGGTTCTGGAGGTCAGTAGAAAGAGCTTCTAAAACTTCTTTTGTTCTGTCGATTTAGGTTGTCCAAAAAGAGTTGGTTTAACTCTTCCAGTTGATTTTGTAAGCTGATGGTTATACATATCTATTTGGCAGAGCATGCCTCAAGAGATCATTGACACCCATGAACTGGCAAGTATCACATTGGACTACAGGCGGGAATGCCTACAAGACGACGTGGTTGATTCGCTTACCAGTCCGGAACCTGCAGAAGATGCCGAAACAGTTTCTGAGCTTAACGGAACAAACGGGTCTGCAGTGGCAAGAGAAGACGATGCGGACTGCCCTAAGTTTTTGCATCTGTTGAGAGTATCTACTGACGGACAGGAAATAAACCGAGGCCGTACCGAGTGGAGAACAAAACCCGCAAGATGAGGTACGCAAGTGGAGAAACGAACCCTTAAGATAGGAAATAAGTTATGGTTCACTGTCCCCTTTCGCGTTTGCATTAGTTTTAAGGTTTCCCGTCTTTGTTTTGGTGTTTTCGTATCGTCAATGGATTTTGGCCCGAAATTTCGTCGTAGGGAATTGCTTGAAACTGATATCTGAAAGACCCACGTCAAAATCCATGGAACTCTTGTACTTCCATATTTCTTTATGTTTTCTTCTCGACTGTCTGTTTAGTATTTACCTAGTATGAGGTGAAGTTTGGAACTCTTGTTCACAATCGTAGAATTTATTGCTTTAGAACATGTTTGTCTATTGTATGGATCCTTTTTCAGCCAATCCCGCATTTTGCCCCTTCAATTATGTTCTTTTCATAGTATGGTACCTAAAGTTCACATTCTTGAACTATCAGAAACAAACACCATTAACAAAATCACTGAATCAAAAGATCATAGCTTGAACCCAAACATGGAGATTAAGGGACCCTTAAACCTACAGTCGATAGAGACATACCTGATTATCGAACTCGTGCGAGCTTCTTCCATGAGGTGAAGCAAAGCACATGCAGGTCGATTACGAGAGACCACATGCGTTCAAGATGTCGGTGGCCAACTCCTGATCCAATCGGTTATGGTTGAAACATTTCTAGTGATATCGTCGATGTCGTCGCTCTTCAAAGCTATCACGATATCTTCCGGGTAACTTTCTTTTGCCTCCTCTAGCAGTACTTGAAATATTTCACACTCCTGAATCAAAAGTTCGAGGTACGAGTTGCTCAAGAAAACAAAGAGTCGGAATAACAAAGAATGAACCGGAAAGTGAACGTTGGCACGTTTTAATTGATGGATACGAGTACGTACCCATGTCCGAAAGTAGGTCTGTCATGAATACTTTAGGAAAAAAGACGAGCATAGGAAGAACATAAAAAAGACTGGTAAGAGTATAATGGACAGAACATCGGTACCTTTTACTCAACCGATCATACAACACAGTGTTGTCGGTTTGAAGAACTACAACAAGATCAAACCATCGTTCGGGAAAGAAATCGCAACCGTGATAATCTACAATGTTTCCGCCTTCTTCCATTGCATCCTCAAGCTCATCACACACCTTCAGGATTCAACACATTGGAATCAAAGGCAACAGATCACAAGCTAAGATAAAAGAATGAAAACAATACAGTGACAAAATGCAGCAAACATACCCAAAGTTGAAACAAAAAAAAAGGGTGAACTATGTTATTCGAACTCGATAACCGTATCCTGATACATATTGGACACACGTATTCGAAGGTACATAGGTTACTTCAAGAAAAATGAAGAGTCGGATTAACATTATCGTGAATGCTATGTTATCAGGACTCTGATTTTACCTTAAAGTATCCGTATCCAACACATATTTGGACGGAAATACGATGTATTTCCTCCAAATATATGAAGAAAAAAACATAAAATTCAACTCCCTATCCGTATCCAAAACTTGCCCAAATCAAGGTAACATTGAGTGAATGAGATATGCGATCACACTCCCCAAAAATGCATTTAAGACCCCAATTATGTATGTATGCATGCATGCCTGTTAAGAATAGCAATAATCACAAATTCACAACCAGACAAGGACTAGATTTTTTCAAGTTTAAGAGCTGTTTACTGCTTAGATAGCGTGAAGTACACTAAAATCACTGAACTATTCGGTCAAAATGATCGCTAAATTTATAGTCGCGATGATAATTTTAGTAACAGTGATAAATTCAATAATCATTTTATAATTTTTAAAAGTTTAGTGGCCAAATCTATCATTTGAGCATAGTTCAATGACCTTTGATGTACTTTAACCAATTAAATATCATACCAAAAACATATTAGGGTAAATTATATGTTTAGTAACTAAATTATCAATTTTGATCCGTTTTATTATCTAAACTTTTAATTTTTTTCAAAACTATATCTAAGATTTAATTTTTTTTATTTTAGTAATCTACAATAAATTTTTGAAAATATTGAAAGTTAGTATTAAAAGAGACCAAAATTGATAGTTTAAGAATAAAATGCGACAAATTTTTAACAATAGAATACCAAAATAAAAAGAAAACTAAACGTTTAATTTAAAAAAAATTAAAATTTAAGTACTAAAACAGAGTTTTAAGTACTGCTTAGTTTACCCAACATATTATTATTTAAATTTCTCTTTACATAACGTAAAATTACAAATGTCCAGAAACCCTAAATTAATAATCTCAGGAATTAAAGCAAGAAATATTAAAAGAAACAATAAATCACAAGCTTAGAGGCGTAAGGGAGGAAGTGAAATTTACGAGGTCTTCGTTGATAACGTGGCGGAGATTGGTGGCCTCCGCCAGAGCAGTAGACGTCGTCGTTTTGCCGGTCCCAGGCGTGCCCGTCACCAGTATGTTGGGCCTCTTTCTCTTATTGCCGTCGGCAGCCATGGATAAATTCACTTGTTCTAGAGCTGGTTCGGGAATCAAGGGCTTACCAGAGGTTTTTCACTTTCCCCTAACTCAAAAGGTAAGAGCGCTTCGCGTTTGGCAATGGAAATAATAGGCTTTTGAAGAACTCTTCAAGCCTCGTGAAGATGAAGTCGGCCCGTGAGAAAAGCCCGGTTTGTTTCTTCTTTAGAAATTGCACTCACTTCTTTTTTTCTTTCTGGTACAACGACAAAATTGATCCCAAATCCAATTTCCATGAACCAGAGTCCAATTTGTATCAATTCCAAACAAATCCAGCCCTAAACTTTAGCAACGCCAATTAAAACGACAACCACATTCATCATGCTAAAAGTCATCCCTTTTCAAGATATACTCCCTGATCCATGCCATCCAAAAGGAACCATTACTAGAATCGTCACCTTTCCAGACGAAACGTATACACAGTTAGGGATGGTAAACGGACGGGTCGGATACGGATACTTCCTCCTCATCCTTATATCTATCTAATATTTTTCAATCCACCACTCGTTCACTGATGGGTATAAATTTTTAAATCTACACTCGTCCACGCAGGTAAATTTTTAAATTTATCTCCACACCCATTACTCACTAACAACATACCCATCTAGACCTGCCTGACAGTAAACTAATAGGATGTTGGAGTTAGTTCCCAGACAGTTCGTGATGGGGTAGCAGCGCATGCTTCAATTTATTAGAAGAGTGACTCTACGAATGATATGGAGACAGATTGTAGAGAACATGTAGTCGTAGAGTTGGATTGTTGAGTTGCTTTCGATGTTAATGTTCATAGTACGCCTAATATGGATTTTGAGAGACTAAAGAACATGAAAACTGCTACTTTTGATGTTAATGCTTATAGTACGACTAATTTGTATTTGTATGGGCAACATGGACTAAAGAACATGGAAAGTGACGTGATTAGTGAGATTATGAATTTAATCAAAGAGCCGAATATTTTCCTAATTAAAGACCAGATTAAAGACTAAATATCTTTAATATTTGGTTAAATTATATGTTATATATTATACAATATTAAAATTTATAAATTAGTTTCTAAAATTACACATAAATTCATTATGGTCCAAAATTTAATAGATATTTAGTTGGGCGGGCGGATGCGGGACGGGCGGATGCAGGGCGGGTAATGTCTCAAACCCATTACCCGCCCACCATCCACGACAGGTACCACTTTATAAATTCACACCCGTCCACTACCCGTTAAAATTATACCCATCCCCGCTCCAATTGGAACAGATGCGGTGCAGAATCTACGAAACTGTACCCGTTTGCCATCCATATATACAGTGGCTTAATCTTCTGAACCACAACTTTTGACAAAATTAGTTGCTTATACCATAAGTTGGAAACGCGAAAGAGAAAAGCTTTAACAAACTGCAACTTACCACCATAACTGAAATTTCTATGCGGTCACGGTCCAATCTTCATTCTAATTTTGTCCAACAAAAGCATACAATCCATTTCAGTGACCTTTCTTGTTATCAAAATCACCCTCGGATACCTGACTGAAAGATTACTCTGCCTAAACCCGGTAACCACTTGAACTTAATTGCACAGTCTATCATTCATACCACAAGCATAAAAGTTTTATACCAAGGCTTAATACAGAAAAAAAAATATCTAAACTATGCCTCAAAAAACATTTTAATTTCTCAAGAATTTTATGCTAAAAATAAGTGTTTATCGTTTTCCTCATTTATATTTTTACGTGTATATTATTATATTTTTATTTTTTTTGATTTTTTATAAATAAAAATATTATTCTTTAAAAGAAAAAAGAAATTTGTTTTAAAAAACTCTTAAGTTTTTAAAACTTACAAAATAACCCTAGTTAGGTTTTCACCGGATCTTCGAAGCTTCCTCTATGACAAACGACGGTGCTACTCGACGAGAGGACGGTTGGATTTTCCTCGACGTGAGGTGATGTTCTCACTAATGTAAGTGGTGATGGTCATGGGTTACCGAAGAAGGGTTCAGTAGTAAGGGGCAACGAACGATTTCTTATTTGACGATTGACAGTCGATTTGGGTGATTGTTGTCGGGTTTGGGGTCACGAGACATCGACAAAGTTGTTGGTGGCGGTGACGTCGGGGAAGAGAAAAGGGAGGGGGACGGTGGTGGGGGTGGGGGATTATTTTAAATTTTTTTTAAAAATATATATATATATATTAATAAAAATATTTTTATTTAAAAAAAAATTAAATAAATTTTCAAAATTACCAAAACATGACATGTGTCACTTAACGAAGTTTTTTAACGACAGTTAACGTTCAAACACCTAAAAGTGTAATGTTAAAAATATTATACAAATATTTTTAACGAAAAATTCTTTAGACACTAAAAACATTTTTCGAAGAATAATTTGGACACTTATTTTTTTTATTAAGTTTTGTACAAATAATCGTTTTACTTTTTACTTTATTTTTTTTGAAATATTTTAATTTTTAATAAAAATAATTTATGTTGGATAAAAATTATTAATAGAAGAATCTTCAATTCATGTGAGGTTGAAGTCGATCCGTGAGAAAAGCCTGATTTATTTATTTCTCTAGAAATTACAATCACTTTTTATGTGTAAATATATATATTGGAAAAAGAATATTAATAATTTAAATTAATTCATTTTTAAACCCCAAATAAGAATATAAAAACATTAAAACTCTGTTTTCAAAAATATTATTATTATTTTCAATTAAATCAATTATTGTGAAATAATTATTACATGAACCAAAAGATCTTGGTGGAAAGAAAATTGTTTGTTCCTTAAGGCCTTGAGTTCGAGCATTATGAATACTAGAGTTGTGAGCGTTCAATGTAAAATGATTGAGTTAAATAAATTAGGAGTGAATAAAATTCAATTCAACTCGGAAAAAACTCAACTCCAATTGACTCGACTTGAAAGATTTTCAAATTCAAATCAAGTTATAAAATAATACTCAAATAACTAAAAAAAAGTTTAGTAATTAGCGGATTGTTTTCAAGTTTAAATCAAACCCCTCAACTTTGTATGATATATGAAACAATATGAAGAAATATATATACATTGTATATAATTATAGAAAATCATTTAAATTGTAATCAAATAATATTATAATATTATAAATATTTATAATTAAATTTAAACAAAACTCAAACAACACGGCTCGGCTCGAAAGTTAAATAAATAAAACTCATTAATTTGAAAATTTTCTTATTAACAAGGTAATATAATATTCTCAAAGTAATGCTACATTTCACTATTATTATTCCCAAAGATAATCTTACATTCCGTGAACCAAACACATCCTAAACGCTTTTGGACAACATTCTAATTCACAAGATTAATTCTTTTGTTCTTCATCGTGGATCCCTAAACAAAGTTTGAAATAAGTTTTTTTTTTCATATCAACACCTATTCCTTTTGGAATAGATTGTATAGTATATATGGAGATTGCTTAAAGAGCCACTTCAGCAATAGTGATTAGGGCTGTAAATGAGACGAGATAGATTGCGAGTTACTCGAGATCGACTCGATAAATGCTCGATAAAATACTCGGATCGAATGGACTCGACTCGAGTTCTTAACTAGCCGAAATTAGCTACTTGATATTCGACTCGAAAAGCTCGTGAGCAGCTCAAAAATATAATATATTAAGATTTAAAAAAAAAAAAATTATTAATATATTAAGATTTTATTTTTTTAAATAAATTATTAATATATTAAGATTTTATTCGAAACTTAATTTAAGAATCGATTAACACCAAATTGGATCATAATTACTTGAAGATGTCTCCCATTTACATTCCACTTGGTCTCTACAAATATTATAAGATTATTGATTATTGATTAATTTTTATAGGTAACTATTAATATATTTTTTATGTTATTATCATATAATATATTAGAATTTTGAAATATATTTTATAATGAATCATAATATTCGGATTTTACTAACAATTTTATTTAATTTGAATTTGAAAAATTCTAAATGTTTTAATTGAATTCTTAAAATGCTAGTATCAAAATAATTAAGTCATTTTACATCTCTTAAAATAAGTTAAATTATGCATTTAGTGCTTAAACTATCAATTTTGTTTCGTTTTAACACCTGAACTTTTAATTTTATAAAATCATATTTAACATTTAGTTTTTATTTCATTTTAGTACCTACAATTAAAAACTTAGTACTTAAACTATCAATTTTGGCATGTTTTAATATCTAAAATTTCAATTTATTCAAAACTTAAAGTTAAATTTTGAACGGATACTAAAATGAAACAAAAGAATAAACTTTAGATATGGTTTTGAAAAATATTAAGAATTTAGGTATTAAAACAGATCAAAACTGATAGTTTAGATACTAAAAAAATAATTTACTCATTAAAATATGATATACTCGCCAATCAATGTACACCATATGCACGCTTCTGCAACCCGAAACTTCCCCCTTAATATCGGGGCCTTCTATCTTCTTCCCAGCCAAAACAAGCAGTTTTCAGAGGTTCCAACAATGTCGGTCATGGCCGTTTTCCCCATTGGCTACTCCTTACACCCTTCGAAATCACTTCCCTCTTCGATCAGCCGCCGCCACCGTGGACATCCAAAGCAGTCTTCACTAAGTCAAGCTGTTTTCTCTCACATCTCGGGTGCCGATCAGTTTTCCGTTATCCACTTCTTTAGACAGTCTTCTTTTACGTAAATTTCTAACTCATTTCTTTTCTCTGTTTCTAATGGTATTGTATTGGGTTGTTGCTCTACTGCTATATTATTATTATTAGAGACGTATTCAAGCTGAGTTGAGTCAAAGCAGTTGGAAGCTCGAGCCAAAATTTGAGACTCAAAGTTTGGTTTGAGTTGGATTTTGTTTCTAGAACTCAGTTTCACCTGAAATTGAGACTGGAAGTTCGGTTAATTCGAGCTCGATTCGAGAGAAAATTCGAATCGCTGGAGCTTACTTGATTAAAGTCATTTGATAGAACCTAGAAACAATGAATCCAGTGAATGTTACTTTGTGAATTTTTTTTTATACCTGAGGGACATGTCATGCTTTATCTAAACAATCCATGTAACTTTGTCAATTCATACTATTACAAAACAGGATTAGAAGTTTTCTGCATGAAGATGGTGAAAACCTTGGGGATGAACCAATGGAGAAACTAGATAAAGGAGATAGAGCTGCTGATGAGTCACATGAAAATCAAAATGGCGATTCCGCAGGTAAACATGGCTAATTGTATATTTTCTACTATCATAATTGTTTCATTTTTTCATATTTTGTTCATGTCATGTACTGCAGGAAGAGGAAGTTCTTTTCTGGCAAAATTAGCGATCGCATTAGGCGTCGCTGCAGCTCTTACTGTTGTATCATTTGGCCTCAAGGGAGTTAGTTTCGCATCATTGCTTGAAGTTCAACGCCTGGCTGAAGTTTCATCCTCTTCAACCATGGATTCCACCGTTGGTTTCACTTTCAATGGTTTTGGTTACAGATTTATACTTCCAGAAAATGCACCGGGGTATGTCTTCTGAGCTTGAACTACAACAAACTGCAATTCCAAAATTTCATGACTTTTACATTTTGTCTCTGTTGCTTTAACTTTTCACTTGACTTGAAGTACTATCTTCCGACATAAGGGTATGGTGATGACTCTCCAAGTACATGGAAAAACCTTAGAAGGAAAAGCCCGTATCGGTTACTCACTTCGAGTCCAAGTAATATAGGCTTGAATGGACCTTCAATACTATATATTTGGAGGTTTTTTGGAAGGTTATATTATGTTTGGGATTCATTTTTGAAAAATGAGTAGTCGGGGAGGTGTATCTGCTTCCCACATATGTATTTCATTCACTAACTAGAATGGTGCTAAAGTTTTTACCTAATCGCCATGTTTCAGATGGGTTTACTTTTGGTTGCTTATGGCTGCTGGTTGTGGACTTTTCATTAGTGAAGAGGCTTTAAATATCTGGGTCCGTCCTTTGCATTGGTACTTAATGTTTCACTAACACAACTTTTGCTGTCTTTTTCTGCTTTCTATGTTGTTTGGATTATTCTTTTCCTTTGAAGTATCAGTATCCAACATTTTGTGTCGGACATATAGATATGTGGATATGACCTCCAAATAGCTTCAACAAGTTTTATAATACTTGTATTCGACACTCATGCTTAAGTTCGAGTAGAATAGTCCCCTTTTATTGTATTGCTAGTTTAAACTAAGCACTCCCTCTTGAAATTGAACTTTTGTTTTGGATAAATTTAGGTTGGCATAACTTTGGCACGGATGCTATCATTGGATGGAACATGGCATTCCTTTGCTGAGTCTTTCTCAAGAAATGCTCCATACATAATATCCACAGTTCTCTGGGTATACTGGTTCGTTGCATCTTATCTTATTCTTTATTTTCGTCGTAACTATATGTTGCTCCAACTTTTCATTCTTTTCTTGAAGTGCTTACATATAACATTTCTGTCTGTCATAAGGGTACTGCCATATGACTTTTAAAGTATCCTAATATAACCGTTTCAGACAGTATTCCTATCTGATGTTCACACCCAAATTCAAGTAACGTAAAATATGGTTAACTTAGATAAGATTACATTCTTTGAATGGTGTTTATGAATAAAGGCAATGAGGCTTTCTCATGTTATAACCATGTGCTTCAACTTAATTTACAATAACCATAGGACATAGATTTTGAGGCTAACACCTTTGGACGTTGAAGATATCGACTAATACGGCATCCCATAGCATAGAGCTTTTCGTGTTGTTCAACATCTATGAAATATTTTTCGTGGTCTTATATTAAACTTACACTCCGCCAATATCCAACTAGTTTTGCATTGTATGCTTATCATGAGTTAATCCACCTTTAACCACTAATTTTACCAATTCTAACCGTGGTAATGGCTTGTTCTTTATTCCTTCCTAGGTAGCTTATGGTTCCTAAATGTTTTATTCTTCGTTGCTAAATTGTGACTTGAAAATTTAGGGGAGTTTGCATCAGTGATATGATACCATTTTACCTTGGAATGCTGTTCAGACAAACTGGAGCATCTGATGATGTTTGTTCCAAGGTTTGTTTATTTTTATGCAGACATGGTAGTGCGTATTAAGATATTTGTGGATATTCAATTCATTTTTACTAGTCCAAATATCATAATTACTATTGGCAGCAGATGCACATTCTAATTTTTAGATATTCATTATCCGATTTCGTTCGATTTTTGCTAATAATCAGTTATACAAACTCATTTTACTTTTAGAGATAATAGATTTAGATATCTAAATTCGAGTCCATTGTCTGTCATACTTTAATTCTTTAAGAAAATGAATATTTAGTGAGTTTATATATCTGACCAACAGCCCATTGAGTGCCTCAATGGTTAAGAGAAGTGTTGTTCTTCCTAGAAGGTCGAGTTCAAGCCAGGGGCTGATGCACTAAGCCCCTAGGGGACCAATTATATCCCCATTATTTAGGGAAAAAATATAAAATTTAGTTTAATATATTAAGGAAAAATAGAAAAAAATAAAAAATTTTGCATACTCATTATTTTTAAGAAATGAATATTAAAATTTTGGACTCCCATTCTTAAATTTCTGAATCCACCACTGATTCGAGCAGTTGTGTCTATAGGGAATGTGTTGTTAATAGATTAAGAAAAATATTGAACAAATATTACTTTGTAATCACCTCAAACTATTAAGAAGAATGTACAATGTTACTTTGGAGATAATATTCAAATTTAATATGAATAATAAATGAATTCGACTTTCAAAACAATAATTTACAAAAAATGCATTTATATCCAATCCGTTTCATTCTTAATATTTATGCATAAAATAGATCGATTTATAGCTCGTTCATGATTTGGTTGATTCCATTACGGTAATCATTCATCTCTTTTCTCAATGTTGATGATGAGGCCAGTTAGGAATTGGTGAAGAGAAGGTTTCGCAAATAAGGCGTGCTGTTCAAAAGTATGGCAATCTCATAGGCTTCAGTGAGTTACAAGACCTGAGTTCTTTTTCATTATCAACGTGGGAAAATGTTATTTGATACATGTATGCATGTCGAATGCATACACATATCTAACAATGTAAAACTTTTTAATTTTACATAGATTTAGGATCGTTAGATGAGTAAAAATAAATGGATGAAATTGACTCCTTGTTTTTTTCCCAGTAAATATCTTCACATTTTCTACTTTTAATCTTAACCATATGTTTTCACTCATCCAACGATCCTAAATCTGTGTAAAACTAAGAGAATTTTACATTGTGTAAGAGGATCCAACCTCATATATATATATATATATATATATATATATATATATATATATATATATATATGTTAGGATCAACTTATACTATGTAAAACTAATATGTTTCACATTAAAATGTTATTTGATACATGTATGCATATTGAATGCATACACATATCTAACAATGTAAATTTTTTTAATTTTACATAGATTTAGGATCGTTAGATGAGTGAAAATAAATGGTTGAAATTGACTCATTGTTTTTTCCCCATTAAATTTATTCACATTTTCTACTTTTAATCTTTAATCATCTGTTTTCACTCATCTAACGGTCATAAATATGTGTAAAACTAAGAGAGTTATACATTAATTTATAGCCATTATATTTAAATAAATAAATGATTTGAATTTAATTAAAATTTATAACTCATAAATAAATATTTCTTTAACTTGCAATAAAACATACTGAACACACACATATCACCGATGCATACCGAACACATATTAAAATTTAAAAGTTCCATGCATTTCGTATTCTAATTTTTATTTTCTGAAGTAAATTTACTTTTTTATGTTCTGCAGTTGAACGATTTTCACTCGGAGTAAGAAATCCCACAGCTTTCCTTGCAGGCTCCCTGGTTAGTATATACTTCTGGTGATAATTTTGATTAGGTTACTCAGATTTGAATGGGTTTATTTATATTTGAGGTAGGATTTCATGTATTTGGAAGGTCATATTTGCATACCTATAATTAAATGCAAATAAATATAAATATCGAATATCACGAATCAACTTACCTCAATAGTTAAAAGAATCGTTGTTATTTCTAGAGGTCATGGATTTGAGCATCAGCGATTGCAGCATGGTGATTGACCGTTCGTTGTCAAATGATTGAGAGTATTTAGAATAGATGCTATTTTGTAATTACCTTAGCTTAATACCTTAATAAAAAAATATAAAAATCGAATTTGAATACTTTAAATGATATAAAAAGTCAAAATAACATATAATTTTTTTTTTGATAAGAATTACAGGCCTCGTTAAAAACCCCCTTCTTGATTAAAGGATCTTTTAGAGAAAGCTCCTTAATCAGCGGAAGAAGGAAAAGAGTGCCTTAGGATTTTATTGATCATAACCAAAGTACATAAGATACAACCATAAGACAAGCAAACAAACCTTAAAAATAACATAACAAAAAAAACAAATTCCCCTATACGACCAGCCTCCCATACCCAACAACGAAACTATCACAGCCCCAACAATCTCAATAAACCAACAACCCTACTAAAAAATCTCTAAGGCTATTTAAAATATTCATCCAATCCCCTGCTTAGCTAAGGTGTCAGCCTCACAATTACAACTCCTCGGAATATGTCTAACAATGATCTCCCTGTCCAAAATTAAGGAAACAATTTTCTGAACCAACGAACTAACAAAACGAGGAGATGATGTCGGCAGCAAGATCCAATCCACCACTGATTTACAATCACTTTCTATAATTAACCTTCCTTTCATCGCCCATTCTGACGAGAGAAAAAAGTCAATTCTTTTCTCAATGGCTTTCAACGCTACGAGTGGAGGAAGACCCGGACCAACGGCGTGCGAGAAAGACCCAAGAATTTTACTTTATGAGTCTCTTAAAATACCCCCCAATTCCCCCAGCATCCCGTCCCCCTCTAACTGCCCCATCAACGTTGACTTTAAAGAAATGAAGAGGAGGAGGAAGCCAGCCCTGAACCTTCTTCCTTTTCGGTTCACTAGTATAATGCTTATCAGCAAGTGTAGGATCCCCTACTAGTGAATCAACCGGAATAATAACGTTCTGGTTTTTAGCTAAGAACCATTTAGCCAATCTAAATCTGCATATGAAGAAAAGCGAAGGAATGTCCAATTTCCAATCATCAAAAACCACCGAGTTTCTTGCCTTCCAAACAGAGGTTCAAGGTTAGATAACCGGAGGGTTAAATTGTCCAACTACAAAATTAATAGGGACCTAATAAGTATTTAGTCTCAAAATTTAGGAGGGGTCCGGAGTTAATTATATTAGCATACCGAACACTTACACATCAATCAAAACTGCAAAAGCAACCATTATGCAATGAAGATAAAGCAAGATTATTAAATGAATATTAAGCCGAGCTGAGAATTGGACTATTTAGTGCAAGGCATATCCATAGGCTGAGCTGGGTCAAGAGTAGGGCCTCAAGGCATAAGGTTTAAATCATTATCCACTGACTATTAAAAAATAAAATTCAATTTTTATATTAGTTTAATATTTACATATATTTATAATTAAATATGAATAAAAATAGCTTTCACCTCTAATGCACAGGGAATATCTCCTGAGTTCTTCTTTGCTGGAGTGTGTTGTGGTGGCTTGGTCACTCTTCCCATTCAGGTTAGTCATTCTGTGCTGGCAATGTAGATAATGCTATTTTTCCAGTGTACATAGAAGTCGTCATACGTACCTATATTTATGCTGCTCCGACTCTTCATTTATTTTAGTATCGATATTCAACGCATACTTATATCCGGCACTCACACTCGATTTAAAGTTTTATCGAACCATGAACGATGAACGATGAACGAGAATTATTAGTAGAAACATACAATCCAAGGCAACTTACAGATACTGCAAATTTGAATGGCCTATACTAATCTATTTTGAGACTGTTTATCCCAGTGTTTTATCTGTATACAGTAAAACTATGAATGCAATGGACCACACCTTGCGTTTCAATATGTTACTCCGACTCTTGATTTTATTTGAATACTTGTGTCTAACTCATATCCGAATGTCATTATAGGATACGATTCTCTAAATATACGAAAAAAGTTGAACGGATGCGTATTTTTCGGTATTTGGCGCATCTGGTTCGAACTAACATAGCTTTAACTTCTCACGCGACTCGGAACTAACGCTATATCCCCTTTCTTTATCTCGATTCAAGCTCGGGATCGGATTTTTGATGAGGAAACGTCCCGTCTTCGCGCTTGCAACCGTCGCCACAGTAGTGGTAAAACAGGTTCTTGTGGTTTTGATATCCGATTTTGCGTAAACAGAGATGCCTGATGTATGAAAATGACACAGGGAGCATGGACCGTGTTTCCATATGTTATGGCTGCTTCAACTGCATTGCTCCTTTACCTACGGCGCCACTTCTCAACCTAGCTCGGGTATTACAGGTTCGGCTTTCAATCCGGTTTTTTTTTTTTTTGTTAATAGAGGATGGAAGCTATAATGCTTACAAATGCAAAGGGCTTACTACTAATGCCCGATGGTGTCGTTCAATATTTAGATTTTCAGATTTCCATGACAAAAATGTGCATATATATTTTAATTGAAGTATAAGTGTATATATATATATATATATATAAACTTTTCATAGTATGAATAAATTATGTATTTAAAGATACTAAAATCCGGGTTCGAGCACCATAGATGTAAGGGGTGTGAGCATTCAATGTCTAACGGTTGAGAGTTATTTTTGAACGGAAGTTACCTTGTACTTGTTCTAGATTAATGAAAAAAAATACTAAAATCCGAAAATTTAAGAATGTTCTTGGTTCACGTAATGAATGAGTATATAAATAGGATTTCTGACATATTGTTGAGGATGTTTTAAGCTATTCTATTTGAATCAGGGGCGGATGTACATGGCTCCCTAGGGTGTTATTGCACACTCATTATTTTGAGAAAAATATTAAATTTAGTTTAATTTGTTAATAGGAATAAAAAAATAAGAAAATTTGCATACCCAAATTTTTTTAGAACAGAGTATTAAAATTTTGGACCTCTATTTTTTAATTTCTAGATCTGTCACTGATTTGAATGTAAGATTATGACGTTTGAGGAGCAAGTTAACATTTTACTACTAAACTGAAAATATTTATATGAAAATTTATATAATTATTTATGTTACACTATCTATATTTATAAAAAAAGTTATATTTTTAATTAATATACTAAATAATATGAAATATATTTCATTAATATTTAAATATATTTTAATTTGAATAAAATTGAAATATTTATTTAAATTTGTCTATTAAAAATTGACTTTATTTAAATTTAAACTAAATAAATAATTTAATCTTTAAAGAGATTTAAAACGTATTACATATACAGTTAAAGGATACATTACAGATAAACAAATAAATTATCGTAAATAAATATCGAAATGTAAAATCAAATGGAAGTTTAAAAACTCTGATTAGGGACATTTATTTTATTTTAAATAAATTAAAGAACTATTAGCTACTTCAATATAAATCAAGTGTCTAAAATGACGTAAATATTTCTGAAACTAAAATAAACATTAGTAATTAAAATTTGTCCTTAAAATATAAAACCCTACGTCTAAAACTTAAAATCCTAAATTCTATATCCATTATATATTTGTAATTATACGCTTTTAATCGATGGACAAAATCATACTACCTTCGTCTAAAAATCTCTCTTATTGACTTTTTAAAAGTCAATTTTTTTAAAATTTAACTATAATTATTTTAAATATTTTAAAAAATAATTTTTATTAAATATATATTTCAAAACTACTTAATTAAAGATTTTTAAAATATCTATTCTTTTCATATTGTTATCAATAATATATTTTAAATAATAATGAGTCAAAGTTAAAAAAATTAAGGAAAAAAAAAGTCAATGAAAGATAAATTTGTGGGGACGTATGTACGTCATTCTATTATAGGGATTATATGAACTGAATTAAGGTCGCACGTAGAACATCCTATAAAATTTTTATTATAGGCCGAGCAACATATTGTCGATATGTCCGAGTGGTTAAGGAGACAGACTTGAAATCTGTTGGGCTACGCCCGCGCAGGTTCGAACCCTGCTGTCGACGCATTTATTTGTTTTGCAAATATTAGTGATGCGCGTGTAAATGTGAAATTCCATTGAACCCGCTCTTTCAGCTGCTACTTCATCACATACACTACTATTTCCTAAAGCTTTAAGAGAAAACAAACAATAAAATAAAACCGCAGCCATGGATCCCATTATCAACGGTTTATATATATATATATATATATATATATATATAGTGGCTAGTTTTACTAAATATAGAAAATATCTAATTTTTTTGGATAATTTCTTTTATTACTCAAAGAAGCAGAGATATGCTACAAAATTAATCATCAATCACCAATCACAAAATCATATATACAACCTACTTACAAAAAATGATCGGTTAAACTATACCCCATGAATTACAAAGGTTAACATTAACACTATCTAACCTATTAATGTTCCTTCCTCTAAGTTTGATACCTACAATCTCCTTTATAACTTTAAGAATATCATCAACTGATCTGGAACAACCTTGGAATATTCTTCTATTTCGTTCCTCCTACAAAGTATATATACGTGGGCACCAAGCAATCTTTAATATAGTAGTGAGAAGAGATTTGCCTTTCTATGCCCCACAAGCCCAAACAAGCATGCCCTTCCAAGACAAAATGGTTATCTTCAATCCAGTTAGAAGCAAAATGGTATCCCATAAGGAAGATGCGAAGGGACATTCAAAGAGCAAATGGTCCCTTGTTTCCATTGCTTCATTACAAAGAACACTATTTCCCACATTATCAATCCCCATTCGTTGAAGCCGATCACGTGTAGGAAGTTTGTCCAAGAGAGCCATCTATGCAATCAAAGTTTGTTTAGGAATATGAAGGGGAAACCAGATTAATTTTCGCCAAGGGACTTTGTCACCCTTCACCCTAATCTCCTCCCATATATCTCTAATTAGGGCTGAGCAACGAAACGAGAAAATTGAAAAACTGACACGAACCGAGTAAAACGGTTCGGTTCGATTTAAAGTCTCAATTCTTTTGATTCGGTTCGGGTTTTCCATATGGAACCCATTTGTTCCATATTGAACCGAATAGGCAAATTTTTTTAAAAAAATATTTATAGTTTCAAGTGATTTTTTCATTGAAAAACCGAACCGAACCGAAAAACTCGAACCGTTAAAAAATCGAACCGAAAAAATCGGTTTCAGTTTTTTCAGTTTTTTAACCATTCGGTTTCGGTTTCAGTTTAAATTTTAAAAAATCGTTTATTTCGGTTCGATTCAATTTTTGGTAAAAAACTAAACCGAACCGAATACACCCCTATCTCTAATTGTAAGTGCCCCATTTGAAAGAGCTGGAATTGCTTCAGCTCTTAATTTAGGAATTCTGTTTAAGCACCAAGTTAGGTTTGCACCTCCTTCCATGAGCCAGAAGTCATTATAATATTTTTCTATTATCATTGAGACAAAAATTTGACACCTAGATCATATAAAGACCAAAGAAGGAAAATATTAAAAAACCTAACAAAAATCTTGAATAAAAATAAAGATACAAACAAATTTGACTACATCGATAAATGAACCACAAAAGGGGATGGAACTAATGAAAGACCACCGATAAATCGTAAATCAGAGTCAAGCGACGTGAGAAAACTATCCACGAATGCAAAACGCGCATCCAAATCAATCCGAGGGCCCAAAGTAGGGAATATCTTCATGATAACAAATAAGTGTCATCTTGATCAATCGTGGCGATGTCAAATCAAACCCTAAGAAAAAAGATAAACAAAAACAACGACAAAAAACCGTAAACAACGACAAAAAACCATAAACAACGACAAAAAACCGTAAGCTACCAAAAGACATAGAAAAATATGTCACAGAGGTAGAGATAAATGTGCCATATAAGTAGAGAACATGTTATAAAGACATAATTATTCTTATTAAAAAATATAAAGAAATAAAGAAAAAGATAACTGGCAAGAGATAACCAACATTAAAGTCGGTTCCGCCACCAATTAAACAAAATTAAAGAAGAAGAAATTGGATTGATCAATAAAATTGACACAAATTATAAAAAATAAAAAAAAGAGAAAGAAGAGAAAAAAACGGCTAGACTTTTTTTCAAATTATCAACCGCTAAACATGCCAATTGCAAACAAGAAAAATATCAAGTTAACTAACACAAACTCAAGCCATACTTTAATCCCTATGTTAATTCTTGCTCCCCGCAAAAATAAGGGCGTATATCGATTAAAGTAGAGATGAATAAAACTCGACTCAAAAAATTAATTTTTAGACTTGCTTCGATTCGAATTGACTTCAAGTTACAATTTCATAAACTCGACTCAAAAAATTTTAAGTTTAAATCGAGTTGTAAAATACAACTCAAATAACTCGAAATTTTTAGTGGTTAGTGGATTTATTTTCAAGTTTGAGTTGATTCTTTTAACTTTGCATAATATGTGTATCAAATATGAAAAAATATAACGAAAAAATATAACGAAAAAATATTTGTATTGTATATATGGTTATAGAAAGTCACTTAAATTGGAATCAAATAATATTATAAATATTTACAATTAAATTTAAACAGAAACTCGAAAAATCGATTCGGCTCGACTCAAATTTTAGACTCAACTTGAACAAAATTCAAGTCAACTTCGAGTTGTAAAATAGGACTTGTCAACTCGAATAACTCGAATTTTTTTACTCGACTCGATCGAACACTCACCCCTAAATTGAAGTACACACCCCATTCCAAAGAGCCAAAAGATTACATAAATTTCACCCTAATTGTGCCTTAATTAGGGATAATCAAATTATTCGAACTTAATGATTATGACTCAATCCAATCTTATATAATAAGTTGTTTTTTTTTAAAAAAAAATTGAGTTTGGATCAAGTGTAATAAATTTTGTGAAGAATAAACTCGGATCAATCAAGTTTGAGCTTGTAGTGAAAAATCCCTGACCAGACAAAAATCGGGATAATAGTTTATAATTCACCTTTATATACTTGGGAATAATTGTTATAGAATAATTAGTGTAGGTTATAAAATTTAATAAACATTTTACAATAAATATATAAATTTAATGACCAATGTATAACTTTTAAAAGTTATTGACTACATAGATTAATTTAATATAGTTTAGCTACTATTTATGTAGATTACCCAATCTAAAAATACACGGATTATTGAAAGGAAAAAAGAAAGCTTCTCATCATAGCGAAAAATACATGGGAAAGTCTCCTTTCTTTGTCTTCTTTTTCATTTTTCTTTCCCTCTCCAAATCAAAAACCTCCGATCTTTCCTCTCTTTTCCTTAGATTCCATCGCAAAGGGGGAAGGATTGTTCTTCGATGGGGCAACAGTCGTTGATCTACGCCTTTGTTGCGCGTGGCACGGCGGTGTTAGCCGACTACACGGAGTTCACCGGCAACTTCATCGGCATAGCTTCTCAGTTGTCTTCAGAAACTTCCTGCTTCAAACAACAAGTTCACTT